GAGGAGTCGTGCCGTCTGACCTTGTGGGCAGTTAGACAGGCATGTGGAGAGCAGAACCGTGGCCGGGCGGAACCGTGGCCGGGTGAGAGGGCCGCCAGGGCACAGAGCCCAGGCGCCTAGCAAAGGGGAAAGCCACAGGCCCTGGCCCAGCCTCTCCCTTCGCATCGGCCCCCGGAGGTGACCCCTAGGCCTCAGCTCCAGACCCAGGGAGGCAGCAGAACCCGGCCGAGGCGGCCTGGCTGCCTGGGCCCAGCTGCGGTGACTCGAGCCCCAGCCCTGGCACCGGCCCGTCGGTGGAGACCTCGGCCCCAGGGGCCGCTGGGGAAGCTGGCGAGGCTCTAGGAGGTCCTCCAGGTGAGGCCTTGGGCCCCGGACCCGGTGAGCTCCGATCTCAGGGTGATCGAGGTGCCCCTACAGCCTGCGTGTCTTCCCGCCGTGACATGGAACGCTCGCGCAGGAGTCAGCCCCGGCCGCCGGGCCAAGCCCCACGGACAGGCGGTGTCAGCCACGGGGTTCAGTGCCCCGGCCTGGAGGACCCAAGTGTGGGCGGGCTGGCTCCTCAGGCCTCGCCCTGGGCATGTGGCCCGTCTCCTCCTCACAGGGCGCCCCCTCCCCAGTAGGGGGCATGTAGGAGGCAGCCGATCCATGATTCTCTCATCATTGATGTTTCTCTCTCCCTCTCTGAAATCAATAAAAATATTGCCTCCTGCACGCCCCCTACTGGGGGTGGAGCCTGCAACCTGGGCCTGTGCCGACTGGGAATCGAACCCGGGACCCTTCAGTCCGCAGGCTGCCGCTCTGTCCACTGAGCCACACCCGCCAGGGCTGACCTTTCTTTAAAGTGTAATACCCCACCTCCAAGTGCAGCCACACCCTGAGTCCTGGGGCTCAGGGCTGCCGCGTAGGCGTTTGGGGGCACATTCAGGCCACACACGTGTTAAACGGAGCTTCATGTCTCCAGGGGGGTCAAGAACAGCGGTGGAGACTCCTGACCCTCCCGCCCTCGTCGGGGCTCCGTGCCCCTCACTGTCCTGAGCCGCCCCGGCGCCCCGTCTTCCTCGTCGCTTCGGGCATTTTTGAACTCGCAAAAGAAATGCCAGGAAGCCCCCCATCCCGCCCTCACCGCCCCCCACCCCGGGGAACCCAGGGCTGCTTGAGGACACAGTTCTGCTCTGAGCGATTCTCCACCCGCCGTGGCCTCCACAGCTGCCCCCTCCCCAGAGCTGGGCCCGTCTCTCTTTAACCATCAACAACAGCCTGGCCGGCCTCCCTCCCTCCGGCTGCTCAGTGGTTAGCGGTCGGCCCTCGGACTGAAGGGTCCCGGGTGCGTTTCTGGTCAAGGGCACGTACCTCTGTCGCAGGCTGCGCCCTGGCCCCTCCTCCCCGGCCCAGGCGCTGGTCAGGGCACATGCAAGAGGCAACCAATAAATGTGTTTCTCTCACATTGACATTTCTCTCTGTATTTCCCTCTCTCTTCCACTCTCTCTAAAAACAGATAAATGGAAAAAAATCCTTGGGTGAGGATTAACAACAAAACATAGATAAAATGCCTGTAGCTTTAAAAAACGCACCCGAGATCAATAAAGGAAGGAGATGTTGGCAGAAAGTCCGTCTGTCCGGCCACACGGCAAATGGAGTGACGGAGGGTTAGCGGCAAAAGGCCCCAAACCGCGAACCACGCCGGGTGCCCCAGGAGTGGCCTCGCGAGTGTTCATCCCCTTCACACCTCACCTTTTCCCCCTCTGTGCAGACATAACGGAGTCTTTCTCCATGAAAAAATGTTTATTTTCTGCCTCCGAAATTATCCGCAGGCTACCTAGCATATACAGAACATTACTGAGCATGAAGCATTCAATCGGCCTCTGAGTCTTTATCCGGCCGTGGCCCAATGGGGTGGCCGATCACCGCAAGGAGGACGGCTCCTGCCGGCGGGGTGCGCG